TACACGTAATTTTCCATTCCTACCTCCCTCTCTTCCCTCCCCTATCTACGCTATCTCCTCTCCTTCCCCTTCCCCTCTCTGATATAATATTTATTTTCATATTTTATTCATTGATTATTTTAATGATTATCATGGTCATGATTTTGAACATAACATCGTCATTCATATTACCATATCGGTCCTTTCTGTTATCATTCAGTTGATAAAAAAAAGCTATATATACATTGTTAAATATTCCATTTTTCGTGGAAATGCATCGGAAAAGGGGCGTGACAGAAACTGTACTATTGGAGTTAGATTTTTAGTTATTAATGCTGATAAAACTTTTTTTTTCACGATCAGCAAACACAGACCAATTTTTCAAATAAAACAGTGCATGTAAAATTACAATGTGACCTAACTCTTAAAACTTATGAGCTTTTAAATAATTTCAAACCCAGCCTTCCTCGAACTTCTCTTGTGAACAGCCAATCGGAAACAGTCATTCCAATCGCGTCCACCAATAGCACGAGAGATTACAACCCGGGGACCAATCCTATTCGAGATTCCAACCTCCCGAAAAATCCCAACAGCCAATCAGGATCGAGCTTGACTTCAAAAAAAAAAAAAGCGTTGAGGCAAAGTTCCGGACAAAGGCTGCCAAACCTTTGATTATTTCTGCTTGTGTCACAGCCGTGTATACCTGTGCAGATGACTTACAGCGCAACGTAGGGTGAAGGCCCTCATATAAAACTTTTTCTTTTGATCCAACGAATATTAAATTACGAGCAAAGAGTCCCTGTAACGGCCGAGACTTTGTGTGTTGAATATTAAGAAATTGAGAGGGAGGATCTAATCCTGGTGTCTGCAAGTTCACATGAGCAGATGCACACACTAAACGCACACGCAGTGAATGCTGAAGGCACCCACGCATCATTTACATATCACATATACTTACAGAATGTACACATAGATATAGTGTATACATAGACAGATAGACACATAGACAGATAAATAGATAAACAGATAAATAAATAGACATACCGACAGACAATCAGATAGACACACTGACAGACAACCAGATAGACACACAGACAGACAACCAGATAGACACACTGACAGACAACCAGATAGACACACTGACAGACAACCAGATAGACACACTGACAGACAACCAGATAGACACACTGACAGACAACCAGATAGACACACTGACAGACAACCAGATAGACACACTGACAGACAACCAGATAGACACACTGACAGACAACCAGATAGACACACTGACAGACAACCAGATAGACACACTGACAGACAACCAGATAGACACACTGACAGACAACCAGATAGACACACTGACAGACAACCAGATAGACACACTGACAGACAACCAGATAGACACACTGACAGACAACCAGATAGACACACTGACAGACAACCAGATAGACACACTGACAGACAACCAGATAGACACACTGACAGACAACCAGATAGACACACTGACAGACAACCAGATAGACACACTGACAGACAACCAGATAGACACACTGACAGACAACCAGATAGACACACTGACAGACAACCAGATAGACACACTGACAGACAACCAGATAGACACACTGACAGACAACCAGATAGACACACTGACAGACAACCAGATAGACACACTGACAGACAACCAGATAGACACACTGACAGACAACCAGATAGACACACTGACAGACAACCAGATAGACACACTGACAGACAACCAGATAGACACACTGACAGACAACCAGATAGACACACTGACAGACAACCAGATAGACACACTGACAGACAACCAGATAGACACACTGACAGACAACCAGATAGACACACTGACAGACAACCAGATAGACACACTGACAGACAACCAGATAGACACACTGACAGACAACCAGATAGACACACTGACAGACAACCAGATAGACACACTGACAGACAACCAGATAGACACACTGACAGACAACCAGATAGACACACTGACAGACAACCAGATAGACACACTGACAGACAACCAGATAGACACACTGACAGACAACCAGATAGACACACTGACAGACAACCAGATAGACACACTGACAGACAACCAGATAGACACACTGACAGACAACCAGATAGACACACTGACAGACAACCAGATAGACACACTGACAGACAACCAGATAGACACACTGACAGACAACCAGATAGACACACTGACAGACAACCAGATAGACACACTGACAGACAACCAGATAGACACACTGACAGACAACCAGATAGACACACTGACAGACAACCAGATAGACACACTGACAGACAACCAGATAGACATACTGACAGACAACCAGATAGACACACTGACAGACAACCAGATAGACACACAGACAGATAAACATATAGATAAATGTATACACATACATACACACATAAAGATAAGTAGATAGAGATATACCACATACAAAACATCATAGAACTTAAGCCTCACCTCATGGGCTTGAACAGCGCGTGGCCTCCGTTGGAAAATTCAATGAGTAGCTTGAGCTGAGTCCCCCCCTCTTTCTGGGCTGAGGGAAGGGAAGGGAAAATGTTATTGCAGTATAATGTGCATCGACATAGAGGGATTATCTCCATTTTGTCTCTATAGATATAAAGCTTTTTGTCACTCTTTTCCCCTTTCTCTGTTTTGTATTTTTCTCTTTTGTATATCGGGATGTATGTATGTATATGTTTGTTTGTTTGTTTGTTTTCTTGCAGGATGACTTATTTTACTATAAATGAATCATTTAGTTAAGATGAAACTCATTCTGTGTTTATTTTCGAGTATGCATGGTGTGTGTGTTTGTTTGTGTGCGTTTGTGTGTGTGTATGTGTGTGTGTGTGTGTGTGTATGTGTCTGTGTGTGTGATAGTAGATAGATAGTAGAACTACTTTCCTGAGCACCATCTGAGCGACAAATTTCGGCACCTTTATTTCAATACTGTGACATAATTGCGTCTTTCCGCCTTTCCGACTTTCTCTAATAATAATAATAATAATAATAATAATAATAATAATAATAATAATAATAATAATAATAATAATAATAATAATAATAATAATAATAATAATAATAATAATAATAATAATAATAATAATAATAATAATAATAATAATAATAATAATAATAATAATAATAATAATAATAATAATAATAATAATAATAATAATAATAATAATAATAATAATAATAATAATAATAATAATAATAATAATAATAATAATAATAATAATAATAATAATAATAATAATAATAATAATAATAATAATAATAATAATAATAATAATAATAATAATAATAATAATAATAATAATAATAATAATAATAATAATAATAATAATAATAATAATAATAATAATAATAATAATAATAATAATAATAATAATAATAATAATAATAATAATAATAATAATAATAATAATAATAATAATAATAATAATAATAATAATAATAATAATAATAATAATAATAATAATAATAATAATAATAATAATAATAATAATAATAATAATAATAATAATAATAATAATAATAATAATAATAATAATAATAATAATAATAATAATAATAATAATAATAATAATAATAATAATAATAATAATAATAATAATAATAATAATAATAATAATAATAATAATAATAATAATAATAATAATAATAATAATAATAATAATAATAATAATAATAATAATAATAATAATAATAATAATAATAATAATAATAATAATAATAATAATAATAATAATAATAATAATAATAATAATAATAATAATAATAATAATAATAATAATAATAATAATAATAATAATAATAATAATAATAATAATAATAATAATAATAATAATAATAATAATAATAATAATAATAATAATAATAATAATAATAATAATAATAATAATAATAATAATAATAATAATAATAATAATAATAATAATAATAATAATAATAATAATAATAATAATAATAATAATAATAATAATAATAATAATAATAATAATAATAATAATAATAATAATAATAATAATAATAATAATAATAATAATAATAATAATAATAATAATAATAATAATAATAATAATAATAATAATAATAATAATAATAATAATAATAATAATAATAATAATAATAATAATAATAATAATAATAATAATAATAATAATAATAATAATAATAATAATAATAATAATAATAATAATAATAATAATAATAATAATAATAATAATAATAATAATAATAATAATAATAATAATAATAATAATAATAATAATAATAATAATAATAATAATAATAATAATAATAATAATAATAATAATAATAATAATAATAATAATAATAATAATAATAATAATAATAATAATAATAATAATAATAATAATAATAATAATAATAATAATAATAATAATAATAATAATAATAATAATAATAATAATAATAATAATAATAATAATAATAATAATAATAATAATAATAATAATAATAATAATAATAATAATAATAATAATAATAATAATAATAATAATAATAATAATAATAATAATAATAATAATAATAATAATAATAATAATAATAATAATAATAATAATAATAATAATAATAATAATAATAATAATAATAATAATAATAATAATAATAATAATAATAATAATAATAATAATAATAATAATAATAATAATAATAATAATAATAATAATAATAATAATAATAATAATAATAATAATAATAATAATAATAATAATAATAATAATAATAATAATAATAATAATAATAATAATAATAATAATAATAATAATAATAATAATAATAATAATAATAAAAAATAAAGATAAATACATTAATAGAAGAAGCTTGCTTACTTATGTGATTGATCTGTAGCGTTTTAACTTGCTCCAGGAGTTTGTTGATGGCGGGGTCGTCGGCAGCATAGAGCTCGTCGCGCGAGATGCTCAAGTGGAACTTGTCCCAGAGAGTAGCGTTGTCTCTGAGGAGGAAAGACAGAGAGGTTAGTATGGCGGTAAAAGAGAGATGGTTTCAGTAACAACATGCACACACACAAATATATGTGTGTGTGTGTATGTATATATATATATATATATATATATATATATATATATATATATATATATATATATATATATATATATATATATATATATATATATATATATATATATATATATATATATATATATATATATATATGTATATATATATATATGTATATATATATATATATATATATATATATATATATATATATATATATATATATATATATATATATGTTCATTTATTTAATCATGACTATGTGTATATATACTTACATATATATATATATATATATATATATATATATATATATATATATATATATATATATATATACATATATATATTTATATATGTGTGTGTGCGTGCCTTCAAACACAAGAAACCCCACCATGAACAACGAATCAGCAGCGCCTCGAGCACTCCGGCCCGCGACACGGCGTTGAGAGTGGAGCTTAATATTCGCCAAAGACGCAGCCGGGTGCAAATAGGCCGTAAAAGTCAATATTGGCCGAAGGAAAATCAAATCACACGACGGGGCTGAGAGGCAAGTCGGAGCGAGCTGCCGATAGACCAACCGACCGCTGCCCCGACAAAGTCAACACTAAATGCTTCGATTCCATACGGTTTGTGGAAGAGGTCGGTTTCATTCATTATTCGCACATTGTTTTCCTTTTCATTCATTTCAGGTTCGGGTGTGGTGTGTGCGACTCCTCATATGCATATATATAGGGTGTAGTATACCCAGTATTGGCTGTATATAATAACGGTTATAATACTACAAACAATAACAATAATACTCATAACGATAATATTAGTAACCATCATAATCATGACAATAATAACAACGATAGTGACGTTGATAATAACAATACCGATATCGATAACAACAGTTACAATAAAACCAACAGGAACGACAACAGTTAAAAAGATAACAAAGCTCAACCCAATACCCTGCGTGCCTCAGTTGACAAACTAAACGAACAACGGAGAATGAAAAACGAAAATATCTTTTATCTTTTCTTTTCACAACCAGTCAGCACAAAAACCCAGCGCCTCGTCTCTTAACAGTTACCGGCAGTCTGTCACGATTCGGTCCTTAACGTCTGTCAAATTTGTTAGGAGTGTGAAGTGGGCAGGAAATTACAATCAGGTCTGAGAAATCTTGCGTAATTGCAAAGTGCATTTCGGGAGTTCCGTTACGCTATCGTTTGCGAGTTGCAAAGCGTGGCGAAATCTGAGGTGATACGTGTGCATACCTTGTTAAAGAGGAAGAGGCATGAGGATGAAATTCAGTGTATATCTTTATCCTGGTATCCTTGATTCAAACGTGAAAGAGAACATCTACTTACCAAAACTCTACGGGTCTGCCACATCATATTACACTAGGAACACGTAATGTAATACTGTATGCTTTAATGTTATATTTATATGGAATGTGCAAAAGAGAAAAAAAAAAATAGACATAGATATTTAATTTCATCTGATGTAATAAATTCTAAACGTAAGGTAATATTCTAAAATTGTAATACAATGCTGTAACATGGTTACGCCTGTGACTTAGAAACAATTCTTTATATCAGTCAAACAAATGTATATGAAAGCAAATTCTTGGTCATATGAATATAAACAATACGCGTATGATATTATTATTTTGGGTTTTGCATTTCGGGATATAGACAAGCAGAAAGTTAGATAGAAAAGACAGGGAATTAAGTAGACAGATGGTTAAATCGATAGACAGACAAATATATGCATAGGCTGGTAGGTAAACAGGCATACGAATGTGTAAGTAATCAGATAAACGGACGGATTCAAACCTAAAGAGGCAGCCAAACGTAAACAGAGAGATACGCATATTAAGAGGCAAATGAACTTATGACTATATACACGTCGACCTTTTATATGATATAAGTATGGAAGTATAAATATAAGCTAAAGTACATGAAAATGAATCGTTTGTGTTTGAAGGCAAATAGCAAAATTTTAAAGGAAGAATCTGCTTCCTGACGTGTCTCAGAGTTAACAGTATGACAGTCTTGTGAGTTGCAAGAAATGAACCCAGCATGGAGACGGGTTCATCGCCAAGATGCCACCACCAGAGGCAACGAGACACACATACGCACACGCAAGTATACATGACAGCATTAACTCACAGGAGCGCAAGAAGAAGCACATTCTGAAACACACATACGTACACACACACACGGACGCACACACACAATTACAGACACAATCACTTGCATTTTACAGACCATAATAAACAAAAAATCCTACAAAACCACCGTATTTTCTCCACAGTCGTTAAAAAAATAAACCAATTACACACAGACACAAGCACACACACACCAAACAGAATATGACTTTCGACACATCATAGCCACATCAAGAACCAGCAACCAACTCCACAACACAAAGTGAAATCAGACTTCATTCATTCGTCATCAGCTGATCCTCCGGTGACCTTCAACTTCAGCCGTTTATCTCCCTGGTCCTGAAGCCTCGGGGTTATCAATCTTGAGTTTCTGTAAAACCATTCTTATTTTTTTCCCCCTCTCCATTTTTCTTTTTTTCTTTTTCTTTTCTTTTTTTGGGGGGCGAGAGAGCTTGAGCTTTTCTTAATAAGCTTTCTTTTTCCCTCCCGCGTTTCTCCATAATGACACTGCCTTTTCATGCTCCGAGGAATGTTTTTCATTGACAGTTCCTTGAAGATAGATATTAAACGTGGTGTCTATTCGAGAGGAAGGGAGAGGGAGTGGAGGGAAGAGAAGGTGGAGGTTAGGAATAAGAAGATGAGGAGGAAAAGGTGGAAGAGGAGAAGATGGAGGAGAAGAAGGAAAAGGAGGAGGAAGAGGAGGAGAAGGAGAAGGAGGAGGAGGTAGTGTTGTGTGGGTGGTGGTGGAGGCGGAGCAGGAGATGGAGGAGGAGTAGGAGGAGGAGGAGGAAGAGGAAGAGGAGGAGGTGGAGGAAGAGGAGGAGATGGAGGACGAAGAGAAGAAGAAGAAGGAGGAGGAAGAGGAGAAGAAGAAAAAATGGATTAATAAGAAATAGGAATGTGAAGGAGGAAAAGGAAAGGGGGGACAGAAGAAGATATAAAAGAAGAGAAGAAGCCAAAATAAGAAGACAAAGAGTAAACGAAAGAATAAGAAAAACAGTAATAACATCAAAGAACAAAGGAAACAGGAAGAGGAAGAAAAATTAAGATGAAAGAAACAGAATATTATATTACATATACTTAACATTTCGTTTCTCATACAACACAAGACACAAAGAAATAAACAATAAACAGAACGAAAAGGAAGATAAAGACACAGAACCGATGAAAAACGAAGAAAAAATCAAACAAAAACAAAAGACAAGGCGAAAGGGAACATCGCTATGATTGCTATTTATTGTAAACACATAATTAGATTAAATGTGTCCGCTGCGAATTAAGGTGCAATCAAGGATTACTGCAGTTAATCGCAGTGGCTTGAGGTTGCAATGTTTACAGGAGGTGCCGTGGAGACGCTGCCTTTTGTTGGCTGTTTGCAATCTGTTTGTCTGTTTGTCTCTGTCTGTCTTTTTTCTGTCTCTGTGTCTATGTGTCTCTCTGCCTATCTGTCTGGTTGTTGGCTGGCTGTCTTTGTCTCTGTCTTTCTGTCTGTCTGCCTGTCTGTCTCTCTCTCTCTCTCTCTTTCTCTCTCTGTCTCTCTCTCTCTCTCTATCTCTCTCTCTCTCTCTCTCTCTCTCTCTCTCTCTCTCTCTCTCTCTCTCTCTCTCTCTCTCTCTCTCTCTCTCTCTCTCTCTCTCCATTTTCTTCTATCTATCTATCTATCTATCTATCTATCTATCTATCTATTTCTTGCTATTTTACTCTTAATTCCTCGTTATTTTGTCTTCGTTTTTCTTTCACATTCGTCATATCATTCAATGCGTATTTCCTCCTTTGACATTTTCTTTCACACTACCAATTAAGTAAATATTTATATTTATCCATTATAACATCTCTACATAGCATTGCCAGGTTATCGCAAATCACTCGATATATTTCACCTTAACTATTCACGCTACACTAATGACGTACATTCTATATATATACCTGTCTATCCTGCATGAACTTTATTCATTCTGATCGATGTTCTCCTGTTTGTTCAAGCTGTTACAACTTTCACCCTATCTGACCTTTGTTCATTCTGCTTGACCTCTGTTTAACCTAAACTCCCTTCACTCTCTTTGACCTCCGTTCACTTTATATGGTTTTCGCTCACTCTAACGTATAAGCAATCAGTTCACTATTCACTATTCTTATTCTGTTTTAGTTTAAAGTGATTCTCTTTGACTGTGTTTTAATCTATATGTTCGTATCTCTCCTCCATTGTCTAGTTTAAAGAAGAGCTAAGTATATGTACGCTGAATTAACATAACTCGTATACGCAAAGATATTTTTTAAATGTAATATCATCTATTATGTATACTGGATGAGATCATTGCTTTCTCTCTTTATATAGATAGATAGATTGATAGATAGATAGATAGATAGATAGATAGATAGATAGATAGATAGATAGATAGATAGATAGATAGATAGATATAGATATAGATATATATGTATATATTTGTTGTTGTTAAAGGGGTAAGTCAGTATAAGTCGTACCTCGCCCCGGCATTATGGTGATTCGATCGTAATATACAGTATATCTGAATAATCTAAAATCCCAAGGTAGTTAAATGCATCGAGACAGTCTCACTGCTGCCTCGGCTTATGCTAATGCCCCGTGCTCATTTTTCTTCAGTCTTGGCAAGGCCTCATAATTCAAGTTCACAGTCATTCGCATTTTGCATGACGGCATTCACTCAGGGACGATTGCAACCCCCACCCCCCTTTCACTCCCCTCTCTTCTCTCTCTTTCTCTCTCTCTCTCTCTCTCTCTCTCTCTCTCTCACTCTCTC